TACAAGTGATATTCGATAAAACGTGCCGCAGACTGCTATTCCTTTTTAACCCAGTTTAAAAACAGGACATTGACAACTCGACTGTGTTTTTCTTTTTTTTTGCGTGTATTTTACGTGATTTCTTAGTAATTTTTAGTAAAAGTTTATATCTCCGGGGTACCATATCAATCAATCAATTTTTACTTATTATTAAAAGTATTTTTTTTTGTAATTAATATTTTACTTAACGGGCACATAGCCTAGTGATCAGAGTGATGTTTATCTTCTATGAAGTTCCAGGTTCCGAATCTCAGCCGGAGCCAAATTTGTTCAATATCACATTGTCGGTTGAGGCGTGTAGTTATATCGTGATTGCCCTCGTGTCACACAGAGCATCTTACATTTTGAATTGTTACATCTTCTTACGTAACATCAGGTACGAGTAGGACAAGACACAAGTATACGTATATTGATATATTTCGATATCTGTCGCCGTGGTCGAGGTGTTTTTAGTAGAATATCAGCATTATTTTGTTCATAGGGAAAGTGCAATTAGTTTACGTTTTAATGTAACACGTAAGTTAATTAATTAATATAGTAAAATAGTTTCTGTGGAGTTTTCATTTCGTTTAACTTTCTGCGATCAAGTAATAAGGGTGAAGAGAGGGTTGACAAACAAAATTCTCATTTATTACTCTAACAGAAATAAAAATGAAAATTCTTTTAATATATTCTTACTTGCTGCTAAGACTCCCTTTCTGCCTTGGAGCTTGTGTTTGGTAACAGCCTCTTACCTTTTTCAACTATGAAGTACCCCACTCTGTGTTCCGAACTGAAAGTTAAGAGAGCTCTGAGCTACTACACAGCACAGGTATCGCAGAACGCTCTTAACACTTAGTCTGACTGACTAACCTACTCTGTGGACCGATCGTTGGTTTTCTTTAATATTATAAAAATAGCATGACAATGTGATATGGCTCGAGGCACCTACAGGTGATAGATAAGACTTTAAGCGATTCTCCCATTGATGTACTAACCTGATAAGGCACACATATGACTCGAGAACGTGTTTTGTGACATCCATACAAAAATATCTTTGATCGGAAGTTGACTGATATATAAATGATAAGACTGCTTTGCTGACGATGATGTTGAATCATTGTCGATAAATAAGATTCCAAAGAAGAGGCAAAGTTTTTTCTTCATAATCATCATCATTACAGCCAATCATCAAGTCCATTGCTGAACATAGACTTCCCCCAAGAAATGCGAGAAAGCACGATCCTGAACCAACTGCATCCATCGACTTGCTGCTGTACTTACACTTCAGCAGTTCGATACATCGACAGTCAACTGGGAACCGCTGAAGGGACTGTAGCACCGTCCAAATTTCTACGGAACCTAAAGATGTTATTAGGAAGTCGTTGCTGCCTATATCCTGGTTTGTTTCCCTCTGTCGCCTCTTACGACACCCACGGGACGATATGAAGTAACGGATATTCTTATATTACTCGGTTAACGGTCTTCTTTTCGACTTTATATTTATACATACTTTATCAAAAACTGTTCAAAAAATTAACACCAATGAAGGCTAGAGAATGAAAAATCTAGCAATAATTATTGAAGCCGAAGTTGTGTCGCACGTAGGGTTGCCATCTCCTAAAATGAAAAAAGCCGGACTCGTCGCTCCAAAAAGCCGGACAGTAATTTTTACTCAACCATACCTTGCATGCAGCCAAAAAACTCACCAATTCCAATCCCTCGAGAAAAAAAAAACTAAAATACACGGAGTATTACGTTAGTTTTTTATTAATCAATCACAACACAGTTTCAAGTGTATACGTTACTTATTTATTTATTCTGCAAGCGATGTGTGCAACGCGTTACACTAACAAAAAGCCAAACGAAAACCGGACAGGCCAGACACATAAAATTTTTGCCGAACACAACCCGAAAAAGCCAAACATGTCCGGCTAAAGCCGAATAGATGGCAACCCTAGTCGCACGACGTTATGCCAATTATTACCGGCAACGAGGCGTTCAATCTTAGTCCTTACAGACGACAACGCTCGTATGTCTTGATTTTTCATTGAAAGCGAACGTATTACAGGTTAGATAAGTAACATGCCCGTTTGTCACCTCAACCTTATATTTTTTTGTAGAAGTAAGGGTGACAAATAAGCATACCTATAAGAGGTGTACCTACCTTTATTTCCTCCCCATAGATTGCCTTATAAGGGGGATAGTTGCCACGCCTGGCAGGCGGGTTGGGTTCTCTACGTGGTAGAGTCATGCTGCAGCTATATTATGGTTGTAGCACGAATGGGTCGGCTCGACCGGGGAAGGACCACGCTCTCACAGAAAACCAGCGTAAAATAGCAGCTTAACGCTGCTGTGTTTCGATGGTGAGTGTAGAGAACCGGAGACCCTTTTTACTGGCAAAGAGGCATTCCATCTTAGTCCTCACGGGTGACAACGCATCGGCATCTTGAGTCTTTATTGAGGATAGATGTAGATGTCTATGGGTCAAAGTAACCACTTACCATCAGGTAGACTGTGTGCTCGTTTGTCTCCCGATCCTATAAAAAAAAAACGTTTTTTTTTCTCTAGATATTAGGAAGACGCTGTTGCCATACCCTGTTTTATTTCCCTCCGTCACATCTTACGACACCCACGGGCCGATAAGCGGTAGTAGCAACAACACGGTTACGTTAAGTGTAAAGTGTGCTAAAGCTCAGACACTTACACTGTATTCGATTAAAATCAAAATACAGATGCGTTATCATTGCTGATTGGCACATTACTAGTAAAAAGGTCAATCGGTTCTCATCGCTAATCATACGAAACACAGCAGTTTTATGCTGTAATATCACAGTTATATATTGTACACAGTATATACACGATTATTGTGACCACTTATGGATATTAGGGATGTATATGGGAGTATGTTAGGGATGAATCTGAATGACAGAGTGAGAAATTGTGAGAGATAAGAGAAGAGTGTGGTTTGCAAGATGATGTTGTGACCAGGATTAAGAAAGGAATGCTTCGGTGGTTTGGTCATGTAGAAAGAATGAATGTGGAAAGAGTGACAAAACAAATTTATGTTGCAGAGGTGAACGGCAAAATCGTGAAGGGACGCCCTAGGTGAAAGTTTATCGACCAAATTGGCGATATATTGAAAATGGGCCAAATCAAGAGTACCTTTAACCGACGAGCGTGTATGCGTAGTTATATGGATTTAGAGGAAGCGAGAGAGGTGTGTCAGGATAGTATATATATATAGTCTCTGCCTACCCCTCTGGGTGACAGGCGTGAGTGTTTATGTATGTATGTTATATACACGATCTCCGTTCATTTCATTATGACTTGTCCCCTAAAATTACACTTTTAGAGCGTGGTCCTTTCCCAGTCCAGATGCGTTGTTGCCCACGAGAACTAAGATGAAATGCGGCGTTACTATTTAAATCGGTCTCCATTTTTATTCACTAATCACATGAAACACCAGCATTATGTTGCTATTTTATGTTGGAGCGTAAGAGCGTGGTCTTTATCCGGTCGGGACGACTCATACGTGCTGGAGTCATAATACAATTGTAGCGGGGCTCTCCTGCATGTATATAATACATATAATATACATAATACATATCATTATCGTTGTTCTTATGCTGTATAAGGCTATCAAAATCTGAAGTGCGATTTACCATCTAAGGCTACATCACCACTTATCACCAGGTGGGATTGTGGTCAAGCACTGGCTTATAATAAGTATAATAAGTAAGTAAAGAATATATGTTTATTAATTGACAAGTCAACTGTCATGATGTTTATAAGTTTTTTCTTTACCCACCACGCAGGATAAGCAGGTTAGTGAGCTCAGTGTTGATAGACTCGTCTAGACCTTGATTCTGTTCTCTGTTATCAATTTATAAGGTTCGGAGTCGCAATTTTTTAAATCTATGTGTATAACAACATTTGTCAATCATATCTAGTTCTTAGTAGTGTACATTGCATTAGGTACCTATATCATCGTTGTGTAGTAATATTGCTGTGCATCTGCTTGCTACTAGAATGAATTCTTAACGGATATTGGATTCTATACTCGCTCACTGAACGTCTTTCAATTTTATTTCCATTTGTCTATTTTTATCTCGAACATTCCGCTTCCATAATCACTGTGTTGGTTTATGACTTTCAACATAAATGCGCTACAAATAAATCTGTAACAATTTTGACTGTTTACTTAACAACGAAATCCATTTGCGCCTTTCAGTTTTGTGCTTTAATTGGGCCGTGAGAATTTGCTACTCTTTACTTTAAAAGTTAAATCTTGTACAAAACTTAAGTAGGGTAATTTCAAAATAGCTATGAAGAGTAGGGTAAACTCACGCAAATAAGTGATAATGCTAATTTCGTGATAGTCTGTTTCAAAGCTTGCACTTAGATAAGTGAGACAAATACACATCTTTAATGTGAACCTTAGGTTAGAGTAATAAGTCTTATTTTTCTCTGAAAAGTTTGGTTCGAATCGTGTGAGAGAGATAGTAACAAATGACAGATTTGTCCGCCCGCGCTTAGTTTTGTGCGCTGCGTGGCCATAGAACATTTGTGTTCAGGTAAATAATTAAAAATAAATACTAAATGTGCATAGATTGCAACAAAACTTACATAGCTTAGAGTCAGACCATTGCAGATTGTGATTTGCGGCTTGGTGTTAGCAAAGGGTGAGTGGTTTTGGTATAATTTCTTATTTTGTTAACCCATAAAATTAACGAATTTTCAAGTTTTGAAATGAAGTTGTGTCACGGATTTAACGTAGGCAAATGTGATGTACGTAAAAAACGGGGTTAGAAACTATTGTTTTTCGTGATTTATTAAGTTAATGTGAACAATTACGTCAAGTAAAACCAAATAAAAAAAATGTAATACCTATAGAAAAAACTTTCAGAATTTTTATCACGGAATTAAATGACTTGAATTATATATTGTTTCCTGACTTTCAATGAATTTTTACAGATATAATGGAGGAACAAGATAATAAAAAAAATAGAAAATACAATGAAGCGACCCTGCGAACCGCAGTCGAGAATGTATTAGAAAAAAATATGACTGTTTACCGCGCATCTAAAGAATTCGGTATTCCATGGACTACTCTCAAAGATAATGTTCTTCGTGCGAAAGAAGAAAAAGATAAAGGAATCAAAACTCAATTTATTATGTCTAAAATTGGAAGACCGTTTTCACTAACGGTTGAAATAGAGCAAAAACTAGTTGCTTATATAATTGAAATGCAGGAGCTCGGGTTTGGCCTCACAGTGAATCAAATTCGAAAAATTGCCTTTTCATTGGCAGAGGCAAATAATCCTAAGCATTGCTTTAGCTCAGACAAAGGATTTGCTGGTTGGAACTGGTGGGTCAGTTTTAAACAACGTTATGGCTTATCTTTGCGAATACCGGAGAATTTGTCTGCTGGCCGAGCTAGTTGTTCAAATCCTGTTATCCTTGCTGACTTTTATGAAAAGTTAGAGAAGACCCTGATAGAGCACGATTTGTTACAATCCCCGGATAGAATATGGAATTGCGACGAGACAGGCTTAATGTTCGTAAACAAACCTTTCAAAATAGTATCAAAGATTGGCAAACAGTATGTTTATAACCGTACATACGCTGAAAAAGGTACCACCACTACAGTACTAGCTGCCATCAATGCTTCTGGATGTTTTCTTCCACCGATGACGATTTTCAAAGGGATACGAAATATACCACAACTAAGTTCTGGTTCTCTTCCAAATAGCTTGACACGACTTTCTCCAAAAGGTTGGATCAATGCAGATCTGTTTTTGGAATGGCTGGAGTTTTTCTCCAAAAACATTCCTCCAGCAAGGCCAGTTTTGCTCATAATGGACTCACATGCCAGCCACGTTTCCCCGAATGTTTTAGCTTATGCTCAATCTAACAATATTATATTATTCACAATGCCAGCACACACAAGTCACATCTTGCAGCCACTTGACGTCGGGGTCTTTCGGCCGCTAAAAGCAGCTTGGCGTGCTGAATTACAAAAGCACAAAACGCAACATCCAAGTTCAGTGCCGACACGTTTTGACTTTCATAAATTTTTGACTCCAGCGTATGAAAGAAGTTTCACACCATCAAACATAAAAGCAGGGTTTGAAAAGACAGGTATTTATCCATTAAACAGAACTACAGTGCGTCCAGAAGCAATCGCGCCCAGCCGACTTACAGACAAACCTTTTCCCACGGAGCCAATACAAAAAATTCTGATCGAAGAAGACCTTGAAGATTCGATCCCTAACACCAAAATCGAAACAACTAACAGCGACCCCCTCAATGATTCGACATCACAATAACGAGAACAAGAATTTACCACCATATGCAATATGGGCTCATGCGTTACGAAGGCAGACTCAAACGTAGCAAATTCTTCGCCTCCTAAACCAAAGAAAATTGAAATTCACGATATTTTGATACTACCTAAATGGATACCTAATGCGAAGAAGCAGGGTTCTAAAAGGACTGTTCCTAAAGCTATATGTTTAACACCTGTTCAGCCGTCAACTTCCAAACTGCAAACTAACCACACACCACAACAGCCAAAGCAAAAACCTACAAGAACAACAGTCAAGGGAAAAGGTAAATCAGTTACTCAAAAGAAGCGCAAACTATCACTGCCAGAAGACGACGATTGGACATGTCACACGTGTGATGGACTGTACTCCAACGATGTGTCCTCAGAAAACGGAGCTGAATGGATAACTTGTTCTTATTGCACGTTACCCTATCACGTGCATTGCCAAAGTCAAGATATTATACTAAAAGGAAGCCAACAACAAATCTTCATGTGTGACGCTTGCAGTGTGATAGATAGTGATGATGATGATCACTAGCTTTAAATCTAGCTACATAGTTGGGTTGGGACTTTTAAATTGATATTACTAGTGTTACACATTTATCAATTAATCTGACAAAAATCAGGAAATATTTTTCTAATTAAGTGATATAAAAAGTAAAAAGCTCATGCAACTCCGTGATGACGTAATTAACTAAGTATGTATCACGGACTTAAAGTGATCATCACGAAATTGTTAAAGTCAACGAGGTTTCTATAACAAGCTATAAGTCTAAAAATAGTAGTCCTAAATAAGTTTACTATCCTAATTATTGTAAATGAAAGACTGATTAATGTTCCTAATTAAAATAAAAAAGAAGATTTTACTAAAATATCGAAGTTTTATTACATATTTTGTTTTATCACGAAATTGGATGAGTTCACCCTATATATTGTATATAATATTATAACGTGATATTTTGATGATATCTGTATTGTCTGTGGTTATGAGAATTGTAGGAACGTTTCCGTTGCTTGCTTTTCGTGATTTTACGATTTTAATTATTTTTTAACCTTTTAAAAGATAATTTAATGAAAGTTTTGTTAGTTAGATTTGACGGTTCGGTGTCACATTAGCTTAGCTTTTAGCCAAGGCACCGCGGGTCGCGTGTTCGATTCGCGTAAGGAAAGGCAATTGCACAACCTGCATTTTGTTATCGTGTAATATATAGGTATATATTTTTAATAGACGTAAGGATGACACTTACATTTCTATTATCGATTAAGAATCAAAATGCATAATATGCAGTTACCCTGAGAACTAATATGACTTGCTGCGTTACCGGTAAAAAGGGTCTCCTTTTCTGTTCACTTATCATCCCAAACGGAACAAGTATGGCCCCCAAATACTTATTCCGAGTCTGGATGTTTGTCCTCGTGCAATTTATGTATAAAAACTGCCTCCTTCTTGTCCTCTTGCATCGTAGATAAAATATTATTCGTTGGTGCATCTGGTAGTAGTCTGTGGAACTTCTGAACGACTAGACCGATTATGGTTAAATTCACACATATACATATATTTCGTATATATTTCGTAGTCAAGAGTCAAGGCGATGGTTTATAGCTATAATGGGATCCGATAATTGAATAAACTATAGTCAAGCTTAACAAGTTCTGTATTTATGATTCGATTATTATCGATGAGGCTGACTACCTCGTTGTTGTAGTGTAGTAACTCTAGTGGTTGTAGTAGTGCGACTGCTGATCATGAGGTCCCGGGTTTGAATCCCGGGTCGCGCCAAAAAATCAGTTATTGGGTTTTTCCGCCAAGGAATTCTCAGTAGCTGCCCGGAGTCAGGAAGTTGGCGGTGTCTAACCCCCGTGCCTCGGAAAGCACGTAAAGCCGTTGGTCCTGCGACTGATCTCTCTGGCCGTGACGGTTTACCGTCCCATTGGATTATGAGAGTGAGTGAATAGAGAGTGCACCTGTGTTTTCTCATACATCCGCTATAATCCCGTCCAGCACGGCTAGCATGGGTTGAGGACAAAAAAATTATCCCTCGGTTATATCCACTCACAAGAGATAAAATTATCTTGTTCCTATGCCAAACCACGGCAATGGGGAGAAGTATAACCCCGTTTGACATAACTACTAGACATATATCCCCCGTCCGTAGCATAGAGCCAAATGAAAGAAAAAAATTATGCTTTTTTGACATTTGAAAGGAACAATTTTATTCATTGGACGTGGGTTTAAGTTTATATTCATACAAAAAAATCTATCTAAGTTTATCTCCCATTTTATTTACTGTGATATCATATCCACCGGTGTGCCCATGCTCGAAGGGTGGATAAAACTAAGCGCGAGATAAACATTTTCTTTTTTCCCCGGGGATAAAATTGCCTCCTGCCCATGCTAGGCCTGCTGTGCCAATGGCTAGTCTCCGTTGAGGCTGGCCGCCGTGACCGAAATTTGGGCTGGAGGACATTATTATTTTATTATATATTGGCTTAGTGATAAAAAATGAAATCAAAAAATCTGGTCCCGATGGTGGCGATATGTAGATTTGATCTACACTATATACAATCCGAAGTGAGTCTAGGCGGGTGAAACGTATGCCGGACCAGTTAGTATAATATAAGTAATTTACATTTTCTTATCTATTAATGTAGATCAATAGAGAACAAATTTGTGAGTGAACAAGCCAAGACTCGCACAGTGCTGTAACAATGAAACGAGATCTCTGTAGCCACAAAGAGATCCGACCTTCAGATATCGATGCTACGAGTAGGTCAATAGGCGATGTAACTCGATTGGTCTCTTGTCCGTTGTGATTGTGGTTTCCATAATATATCCGATAATTGTGTAAGCCATAATTTGCTTATATTTTACCCGTATCTTATATTTTAGGTTGCATGTTACGTAATCTTGCTTGCTGTTTCATAGAAATCTTTCAACCATTATATAAATAAAATGTGTGAAAAAAGTAAACGTGTCAGTCTGTCATTTTTGGGTATATCATTGATACTAAAGTTTCGTCAAAAGGTCGACGCGATTAAACCTCATCGTTATCATTAGCAGCCTATCAAAGGTCCACTAGTGAACATAGGCCTCCCCATAATTACCCCATGTTAATTAAATTAAATATTCACTATAGGTTTTTTTTATAGGATAAGGGTGACAAACGAGCACACAGTCCACCTGATGCTACGTGGTTGCTGTGGCACATAGACATCTACACCTATCCTCGATCACGAATCAAAATGCAGATGCAGATACTCGCCTCCAGTAAAAAGGATCTCCGGTTCTCTACACTCACCATACGAAACACAACAGCATTAAACTGCTATTTTACGCTGGTATTCTGTGAGAGTGTGGTCCTTCCCCGGTCGAGCCGACCCATTCGTGCTACAACTATACTATAAATATAGCTGCAGCATGGCTCTACCACGTATAAAATTAATTGAGTTCTTTCAACCATTTAAAATGTGTGAAAAAAGTAAACGTGTCCAGTCTGTCAGTCATTTTTGGGTATATCATTGATACTAATATACTGTGAAAAAGCCGACTCGATAAAATCTCATCAACGTTATCATTAGCAGCCCATCAAAGGTCCACTAGTTAAATATTCACTATAGTTGCCCCGCTTACTATTTTGAGTTGTGATTCTGCTGCCCATCTCCTGTTTCAAATTTCTCTGGCGTCTTTGACAACACCCACGGGATGATTTGGGGTAGTGGAGCAGTCACTGGAATAATCGGCAACATTTAAACATAAAACGTAATTAAACGACTCTATCTGTTTCGTTCATATGTCCAGAACATATATTTAAAAAAATATAGTAGTTCCAGGAAAAAAAATACAAAAAAAAACAAAAGCTATTAATGCCATTAATAGACATTAATTATAAAATGCTATAAATTAAGATTACCGTCGCTCATATATTTTTATATCATAATATTTTTAAGGCAAGCAGTGTTTGTTAGAGGACTTAAAAACAGAAAAAAATTGCGCAGAGAGACCTAGGCTCTCTTACGGTTACATTTACAACGCAGCTGGCCAACTTCACTGCCACGCATGTCAAAGAGTTTTAAGATCAATTTCCGCCTAGCAAGCCATATCAGGACTCATCATAGGAAAATATCCTAATATCCAGGGTCGCCATCATCGAAATCGATGAGAAGGATTACATATATAGAATATATTATCATTATTACTTTAAAAAACATGGGAAAATTTCTTGCCAATAAAATAATAAATATATAATAATAGGGCCAGTTTTTAAAACAAACATGGACAACTTTAAGTTATGCATCAAATAAACTACAACCTGACAGAATAGAAAAGTGAAACAATTGAACAATTTCTTTCATACAAGTGTAATTTTTTATTTGCTCATGTTTTATTTTACCCTATGAATAACTTTAAACTGATGATTTGATGATTGAAAATTCAGCCTTTATAATAATAACATATCTAATAGATAAAAATTCTTTTTTGTTTGTTCGTATTTTATGCGCTGCCATACCGTTCATCAGATTGCGGTAAAACTTCGTCAACTTATTGCTTGCACTTCAGAGAAGGTTATAGGCATAGTACAATTAACTTACAATGAATGGTGTGCGTATCGTACCGACAAATTTTTTTGAAAGTTATACATCACTCATCTTCGATGAATGTTAACATTCCTAATTAAAAAATATGACTCTTCCAAAATTAAAACAATATTTCCACAATTATTTTTTCTGTGGCAGCAATGCGCCCGGTACCAGCTAGTTTGAAATAATATTTTCTAGAACTAATATTACAAACTGCAGTTACGCAATTGACAACTGCCAATTCCGTGGGTGTCATAAGAGGTGACAGAGGGAAACAAATCAGGAGATAGGCAGCAGCGTCTTCCTAATAACGACTAAAAATAAAAAAATACGCTTGCCAAGTGTGGCAACTGTGGCAAACATTCCGCGGTCGGTCAATGTTCAGCAGTGGACTCTAATAGGCTGTAACGGTAATACTAAAAATCAGAAGTTGGCGTCGTGGTCGAAATCGCTTGGGCGAATAAACTGTCATAAAAACTTGTATTCGAATAAATTTACGATGTAACAAAGAGCTCCTGTCAAACTAAAGTTTTTGATGGTACGCGGTACGAACGGCGCGATCGTTTGACATCTGCTCGGCATCTAATTATTCTCGAATTATACGAGTATATTGCTCGGCATAACAGAGCAGATGTCAAACACAATAATAGAGAACTTTTATTATTTCAGGAGACGCGATAGCGATATTGTCTTGTGTCAGCCTCTTGATATCAGTGTCACGTCATTTTCAGAACATCGGTGAAAATATTCTCTCACCTATGTCTCTCACAGTAATAAATATATTATTTACTAAATCGCCCGGCATACATTATTATTCTGGTTGGTGGCGAGATGAGTTTCATTTTCACACACACACACTTCTCTATAGATTTATTAAACGTATATCTAAATCCTTTTTAGGACTAATAGAACCATCAACAGACATAATGACAATAAACTTTAAAAAAAGGAAAACATAAC